TAGATGGTATGTACATAAATATTTATTACCCTTCTTTTAAATTATGCACAAAATTAGAATGGAATAAGACGTAACAACGTATATATTTCAATCATAAAGCTAAAATTTGAAATCGTACAAAGATAAGATAATGTCTGTTGAAACTGTCGTATTTTTGTGAAATTATAGCAACAAAACAGCAGGAAAAAAGATCATACGACTCTAGATATTAAGTTTAAATCAATACCATAACAGTATTTTTATTATAAATATAAACTGTATCTTAAGTGGGTCTGATTTTTTGTATTTTTTCTATGATATCAGTTTATAAATGTGTAAACATTCATCCCAGTATTCATCTATACACATCTACAAACACTAAACTAAGATTAATCTCATGATACTCTATCTACCATTTGTTCTGTATTAGTGGAGAATAGTTGCTTATAATATTTTATTGAGTTACTAGAATCGATTTATTCACCAAACACCTGAGTACATTTTTAACCTTGTTTTTAAATACGTTCAATGAATACTGTATTACAAGATCCCCAAGAAGACCTTTAATGTTTCTTTAGAAAGCTGTTCGATTATGGTGTAAGTTTTCATAAAAATACAAAATGGATTATATAAAAAGATAATTATAACAGGATGTTCAGATAGCTTACAAATCAAAATTTAGATTTTAGTTCGCGTCATTGTACTCCTGATCAAAATACCGAAGAAAGGTGATCTCAGCAACTTTGATAACTACAGGGGCATCACTCTTCTCTCAATACTGTGAAAAGTCTTCAACAGAGTTTTGTTAAACAGGATGAAGGACTGCGTAGACGCCCAACTTCGTGACCAACAGGCAGGATTCCGTAAGGATAGATCGTGTACAAACCAAATCGCAACTCTACGGATCATTGTGGAACAATCAATTGAATGGAATTCATCACTCTACATCAACTTCATTGACTATGAAAAGGCATTTGATAGCGTGGACAGAACAACATTATGGAAACTTCTTCGACACTACGGCGTGCCTCAGAAGATAGTCAATATCATACAGAGTTCATATGATGGATTACACTGCAAAATCGTGCATGGAGGACAGTTGACAAAGTCGTTCGAAGTGCAGACCGGTGTTAGGCAAGGTTGCTTACTCTCACCCTTTCTCTTTCTCCTGGTGATCGACGGGATCATGAAGACGTCAACATCTGAAGAGAAACACGGGATACAATGGACATCTAGGATGCAATTGGACGATCTGGACTTCGCAGATGATCTGGTTCTTCTATCCCAAACGCAACAACAAATGCAGGAGAAGACGACCAGTGTAGCAGCAGCCTCAGCAGCAGTAGGTCTCAATATACACAAAAAGAAGAGCAAGGTTCTCCGATACAACACAGCATGCACCAATCAAATCACAATTGACGGAGAATATTTGGAAGATGTAAAAACCTTTACATATTTGGGCAGCATCATTGATGAACATGGTGGATCTGATGCAGATGTGAAGGCGCGGATCGGCAAAGCAAGAGCAGCATATTTACAACTGAGAAACGTCTGGAACTCAAAGCAACTGTCAACCAACACCAAGGTCAGGATTTTCAATACAAATATCAAGACAGTTCTTCTGTATGGGGCGGAAACCTGGAGAACTACGAAAGCCATCATCCAGAAGATACAGGTGTTTATTAACAGCTGTCTACGCAAAATACTTCGGATCCGATGGCCAGATACTATCAGCAACAAGCTATTGTGGTAGAGAACAAACCAGATCCCAGCAGAGGAAGAAATCAGGAAGAAGCGCTGGAAGTGGATAGAACACACATTGAGGAAAGCACTCAACTGCGTCATAAGACAAGCCCTCACATGGAATCCTCAAGGCCAAAGGAGGAGAGGAAGACCAAAGAACACATTACGCCGAGAAATGGAAATAGACATGAAAAAGATGAACAAGAATTGGATGGAATTAGTAAAGGAGGCCCAGGACAGAGTGGGTTGGAGAATGTTGGTCGGCGGCCTATGCTCCATTGGGAGTAAGTAACACGTCATTGTCTCTAAGACGAATAAGTTATTTGATTTGTATGTAGAAGTTCTGGGTTCATTTAGGACTACCTTGATAATATAAAGTCATTTTTCAATACTTTTCCTATAGATCCTTAAACCATTTCACTACCTTTCAATTAATTACGGTAGTAAATTAATTGTTCACTTTATTTTTATTTTTATGCTTACCGCCTTTTTGTTATTAAGATAAACTTTTTATACAACATTTGTCTTTTCAAAATAAAAATATTTGACTGCTCAATATTTTGGCTGCAGATTTAAATTCATCTAATGAATGAAATGAGGGAAGGAAGATTAAAGTAATATCGATGGCTGGATAAGTGATAGAAGTCACATAAATTTCTTCCTAACACACAAATGCAGCTTTAATACAAATGATATATAATTGGTGGTAGAAGACTTCGAAAGAGTTTATTAAAAACAATCTTCCTTTCAAGGATAATCAAGCAAGAATGTATAAAATATTTGGGTAGATTTATTATTTTTTCTTTGGATAGTAGTAATAGAAATCCAAACAATAACTCATGCAAATACGAGTCCTACATAACTGTGTTTATAATAATACTTAAATCAGATTATTGTTTATTCATTCATAGTTGTCAAAAATAAACAATTATATAATGAACCGAAAAACTAGACTATAAAGGCTATTTACTACCGACCTTTAGTTTCATTTCGATAGTTTCACTAAATCTCATTATCAAATTTTAAATATTATTCACAAATATTTTTTCGCAACCGCTCTTAAATAGATAGATAGATAGATAGATCAAATGTCTCTTGTCAATTGGGCCCGAATATTATTTTGGTTCTCATGATTTTTTATCTGCCTCTTGATCATCAGATTTAGGTTGATCAAGTAAAATAATTGAAATATATATCTATACTAATACTGGTGTTTATAACTTCTGGTTGTTTGAAGCTAGCGAGTAGAGTTGTAAAAGAGCTACTTCATCTTCTTTTGTTTCATCAAGGAATAAGTTGTATGGGATAAATCTTTTATATTATTAATATACATATGTTTTACATATTAAAAATTAGAGAAGCCCTATAATGGACGAATAGTGACCGAATATATCACTTGTCTCTTTCATTACAAACAATCGTAAACACTGGATGCTCATTTTACTTGATTATGCCTGTTACCCCTCATCGAGGAGCATAGGCCGTCCACCAGCACTCTCCATCCAACCCTGTCCTGGGCAATCCCTTCCAGTTCTTTCCAGTGGTTATTCATCCTTTTCATATCTGATTCTATTTCCCGACGTAATGTGTTTTTTGACCTTCCTCTTTTCCGCCTTCCTTCAGGACTCAAGTTAGGGCTTGCCTCGTGATGCAGTTTGACGATTTGCGTAATCTATGTCCTATCCATTTCCATCGTCTTTTCCCAATTTCTTCTTCAGCTGGAAGCTGGTTTGTTTTCTCCCACAGTAGGCTGTTGCTGATGGCATCCGGCCAATGGATGTTGAGTATCTTGCGTAGACAGCTATTTATAAATACTTGCACATGTTTGATGGTGGTTGCTGTAGTTCTACAAGTTTCAGCTCTGTAAGTCCAGTAGAACTGCCTTGACGTTCGTATTGAAGATTCTGACTTTGATATTGGTTGACAGACAGTTATTTTGAGCTCCATATATTCTTTAATTTTAAAAATGCGACTCTTGTTTTGTCAACTGATTGATCTTAAATGAATGTAGTACTCATAAATTTTATCATACACTATATTCACATTATTAACATTATTATTCATCACATAATGGCTAGAATTACGTCATATCATAAGTTAAACAATAAGATCAAAATGAATTTTTCGAAATCTATTAATCTACTGCATATTATTGAAGGTACGTAAAATTGATGTTGTAAAGATTTACATGTATATTTTTCAGATGGGTTTGTGGAGATTGTAGTAATTTCAATGGTTAAGATCATGAATCAGTTGAAGCTATACCACCATGGAAAACCTGGGAGCACTGGACGGCCGTTTCGTCCTATTGTGGAACTCCTAAGCAGTGCGCATCCACGACCTCGCCCCCTGCGAGATTAGAACCCAGGACCTACTGCTTTTGCGCGCGAGCACTTAACCATTAGACCACTGAGCCGTCATCCAACGGTGTTAATGTCTAACTTCAACTAATCCACGAAATTGAGCGACACATTCGCCATTGTCATCAGTGAGTTACTATCTCACAACAGACCTGGTTGAATTCCACTGACTCATGATCTTAACCATTGAACTTACTGCAATCTTCACAAAACCCATCTCATATTAATCAACATATGCTCACTAGTGGCTGGCTTCACGAGGTATATCCTGGAGTTCTAGTAAGAAGCAGTGACCAGTGGAGTTCAACCAGGTCTGTTGTGAGATAGTAACTCACTGATGACAATGGCGAATGTGTCGCTCAATTTCGTGGATTAGTTGAAGTTAGACATTAACACCGTTGGATGACGGCTCAGTGGTCTAATGGTTAAGTGCTCGCGCGCAAAAGCAGTAGGTCCTGGGTTCTAATCTCGCAGGGGGCGAGGTCGTGGATGCGCACTGCTTAGGAGTTCCACAATAGGACGAAACGGTCGTCCAGTGCTGCCAGGTTTTCCATGGTGGTCTAGCTTCAACTGGCACATGTATATTTCTTTGAAATAATACAGTATGAGATTAGTTCTATGATAATCTTCATCTTCTTAATACATTATCAAATATACAATGTTTATTGTATTATTAAATGATTGAAACAAAAGATTTTTTTATTGTGTTCAATCATCATAGATCATATATGAATTATTATTATTATTTTTTTTTTATCATCAATTTGGTTGTTATTTAAATAATCGAATTAAAGTAGTATTTCTATAGGTTGAATAAATAAATAAAAATTTATATAGTTATTCACTGATTGGTCAATGAGACAAGTCAATTCTTATTGATTAATGAAAATTATTAAAATTACTGCAAAATGATTGTACATGCAACAGTATTTAAACTGGACTAATATCAATTCTTCATAAATAGGATCAATGAATTCAACACGTTAATGTAAGCACTTTAATTAAATCACCCATGATACTTGGTCAAATCAGTGAATTTTGAATGACATCAAAGTCTCACAATCATTATCAGTTATTCAAGCTACAACGACAAATAAAATGAAGTGGATTAGTAAAATTGCTTATGGAACGGGTCAAATGCTTAAAGATCTTGTTGCAGGAGTTATCAGTATATTCTACATCATATTCTATGAAGGTTGTATCAGTTTGAGTAGTTCACAAGTTGGGGCATTATTACTGTGTGGTCAGATTGCTAATGGATTAGCCACACCATTGATTGGTTATTTATCAGATCATCCATTCAGTCTAACTGAAAAACCGACAACTGGTCACCAGTCGATAACGTGTGAAGATGGAAGTGTAAAGAAGGATAAGAGGTTGTTCAATCGAATGAAACGACAGTTTAGACTTGGACAGAGAAAGTCATGGCATTTAGGTGGATGTTTATTGATGCTTATTGCTTTTCCATTGATGTTCGGACAACCGGAATATTTTGTTGGTCTTCCAATTGTGGTGAAGTTACTGATCAATGGTATGCTTATAATTTGTGTTCAGGTATGTGGAATTCTTGAAATCACTCGGAAAAATATTAGGTGATAATGTTGATCCATTGAGTGAATATTTGAATACAATGTGTTTGGTTTAAATCTACGTAAATGTATAGACATTGGAATGAAAATTAGGAAAGTACATTTAAGGGAATGAAATAACTTCGATCGATCATATTTTCAATTATTAATTGTTTAACAGCCATGTCAATAGGGAAATAGACTGTTTATATGCTTCTAATAGTTTTATTATTACATTGAACAAAACGAAATGATCTGCGATTTTTAATCTGTAATCTTTTTCCATATTTACTCGATATAATTGATGGTTTAAAAAAATATCAACAACTATTGAATCATTGAAATGAAATCAGTTCATGGATAATTATTTTTTATTTTATTTATCAGTCTGGATAATTTATTGTCTTTCTTCATAGTTTGTTATATTACTGAATAAGTCAGATTAATTCTAATATTTGGCTATGATCTATTGGTAGAGAGGTTGAAAATCATAATCAAAATCGTTTATTTTAGGCTTTTAAATATTTAGCATTTCTAAATTGTAGACTTTCATACAGGCTAGATAAACTAAATACAATCACAATCAATTGATGGATGTATATCAATCATATACTCTTTTGGTTAGCGTTTTTTTAGAGAGTTAGTTTTTTACGAGGTGGAGTCGCTAACTCCATGCCCAACCCTCCTCCTTAATCCGGACAGTAACCCCAGATGGGCCCCAGGTGGAAATATCAATCTCAACTGTTTAAAATATAGACATGTCTGTGAACGTCGTCAAAACTGTCAGACGACAATACAAAGTCAAACAACGTTATTTTTTTATTGTTTACTATAGATGGATCTTTTTTTATTACTGCTTTTCTTATAATAATCAGTTAAACTTACTAACTAATGTGACACAGTCGATTTTAGTTACAAAGATCAATCAAATAATTTTCTTCTTTTAAACTTTGAACCTACAGTAAGTTCTAATATGCTATTTTAACTAATCATTGTTAATTCTTTGTATTTAAGTACTATGAAATCTAACAGCTTGAATAGATCTAGTTCTTTAATCTATACTTCGGTAGATAACGAACAAGACTATTTGTCGATACATAACTTCCAATTAATCAATTTACTTTATTTTGCCGCCATTAAATAAGATTAAAATATTTTTTGCATAAACGAGTAGAATTATTTCTCTTAGTGATGAAATAAAAATAGAAAATCCGTAATTAAGTGAAATTCTCTCTCTTTTACATATTCATTGTTTCTTGTTTTTGTAAAAAAGATATTTCTCTTACTTTAGATAAGTGAATAATTGTAATTACTTAATTCTTTAAAACTATTATTAATTCATTCTATTTATTAGTAGAATTCATGAATCGATTAAAACTAGACCACCATGGGATCTGAAAGCACTGGACGGCCGTTTCCTCATAACATGGGACTCCTCAGCAGTGCGGAACCACTATCCCTCTCGCGGCATCCGAACCCAGGATCTTCGGTCCCGCGTGCGAATGCTTAATGTCTAGACCATTGAGCCGGCAACCAACTGTGTTAGTGTCTAACTTCAACCAATCCACTTTGTCTCTTAAAAAATAAAGTTGATAAAAACCACTTTATTTATGTAATCAATACCGTTCGCTTTCGTTTAAACAAAATCGGTTGTTACTGTTCTACTTTGTCATATGACAGCTTGAAATATCACTTCGTTTAGTTTTTACATACTACAGTCATCGATAAATGACAGACACTTTGATGTATATGAATTACATATTTTACTCCCACTGTTTTGGTTAAGTTTTTATCAACTAACTAAAAAGTGTTCTAATATAATAAAAATAAACAAAACAAACGGAAAGACTATTTATAACTTGGTAAGAAAATGTAACGGATAGTGAAAAAATGAACCAACAGAACGACGATTAGACTATGTCTATAAACATTTGGTCTATTGTTCATATTCACACATGTATCGGACTGATTAATAACTAATACAGATTTAATGCTCGATGTTAAATGAAAATCAGGTACTTCCTTAAACTGTATACTCTTATCTAAATAATCTATAGTAAAAAACTCTTCTAAGAAACATTTATTTATAATTAACTCATCATCATATCTGGATTCAAATATAAATATCTTGAAAATCGTTAACTGACAAAATTTAATCTTCACAACAAGGGACTAGATAGTATACTATTGATTTTATCACTGCGTAACTGATCATTAAAAGAATCTAAGATCAGGCTGAATTGTAATACGTCAATCATTGATTAAGTATCTAGTTGCAGTACTCGGTGATGCATGCTCAAATCTCTGGAAATATATTTATTTTTTCTGGATTGTAGATGTATTTCGGTAATAAGTGTCGACTAAGTAGAAACCTGGATGTAACGTTTGATGATAATATCGTTACAATCATCTAACGTAATAATCAATACAATGCTTAATAATAGTCATGATTAATATGTTGTTAATCAGTGTAATTTATGGGAAAATTAACAGAGCCCCAGAAAACTGAGATATCAAGTTCCATATACGTAAATCGTATCACATAGAAAAGGTTCAGTAAACAATTTTAATCTGACATAAGTGGATTTTACAAACTGTAGACCAATAAGTTTAAGTAGGCTAAAACATGAAATCAATATTACCATAAATAGGAAATAGGAAATAAATTCTTTATCAGATTAAAGTAAATTATTCTTTAAGCTAAATCATATTCAAACTTAAGTCAAATAATTTTCTTAAGCGATTGTTTTGGAAGAGAGCTAAGTAGACATTTTCTTCAAAAACCATATTAAGACACTTTAAACCGCGTACTGCCAGGCAGGACCCATATGTAAATTACGTTAAATTACGATACTATCAAGGATAATTTACAAATGAAGTTAAACTTTTATAAACCAGTCACTAGTACTAACTATCTTCTTTTCAATGTGATGATCAATGTTTATTAATCAGTCAGTTAAAACCTGAGAAAATGTCAATTATCAGTTTGAAAATTCTACAGCTCCAATCACCATTCTTCCAGTATCTATTGTAATTTGAAATTACTTAGGTTCTAAATAATCGGGTATCCAATTTCGGTCATCTTCAAGATACATTTCCCTGGTTCTTGTGTCCTGTGAAGTTTGGTGAATCGACTAAACGCTGATTTTGTGTTGATGATATTTTACAATAAAACAACATTCAAACTAATTGATTCTTTTTTTATCTACAAAACAATGTTTTGAAGGTTGGTTGGGCAGCTGTACAAATTCCCCATTTATCAATTATCAATGATTTGACAGACCAACATGATGAACGAGTATTACTTGCATCCTTAAGATATTTCTTCAGTGGTATAGGCGATATGGCTACATTGCTTGTAACGTATTTATTTTTTGAATCAGAAAAATCCAGTTTGTTAATCATGAAATCGGTAAATGAGACTGACAACAATGTGAGCAACAGTCAACTGTTCACAAAATCATTAATAACAACTGACATTATTGTTGGAAGTGAACGAGCAACATTGTTCAATGATTCGATAAATAACCAGTCAACAAATGTTGGGAAACAGTTAGTCGTACATTCAGAATACAATATAACAATTCAAGATTTGCCCATATTTCGAAATGTTGCATTGATTGTCGTTGGCATTGGAGTATTATTCACAATAATCTTCCATTGTGGTGTTCGTGAAGGTAAACCGAAAGCACACCAATCATTCACAATGCAATCCCATGAAAGTAAGTCAAATACCATGTTGATGTAGATGGAAGTTCGGAAATGCAGACTATGTATGAATGTTGTTTGTTGGTATGTTTGCGTGTTTCGACAAATGGAGCTGATCCGGTTGAAATGATTTCTAGAGAGGTGAAATATTCTGCTGTTGAATTTGATACATCGTTCTTAGAGTCTAATGTCAAGATTGTCCGGTAAACAAATTGCATACTGAAATGTTTATCACTGAACAAATTTGATAGTGCTCTCGAATTCGAATTTGCTTGAACTCGTTGTTTGAAAAGAAGTATTTGAATATGAATAACCATTGATAGTTGGAAATTCCTGACTTTAGTGTACTTCGATCTTTATCAGTTTGATTATATGTGTGTACATTTACATATGTATATATGATTGAAATGAAATATAGTGTTGACGGGTAAATAGAAGCTGGACCAATTACATATTTTTGAGGAACTCAGTCAATTGATGGTCCTCAACATCTTATAATCAATATATTCCTCGTTATATTCGAATGAGTAGGAAATTGTTTTACTGAAATTTTGTGACTTGAAGTGAGCCACATTTTCATAGTAAATGACAACGACTTTCGAACTACTCCCCAAATAATCGGTGGAATGTACAAATGTGAAAGTGTAGAGTTGTTTTCTTATTGTTTTGAAATGAAGTAAACTTTTCATCATCATGGCAGAGGTATTTTCAAGCTCCCGTGAATATCGTGATGTAATTGATTCAGGCGAATAATTTCGATTGATGTGAAACAGTTGACTGATATCCTAGAGAACAGTATACTCGTTTGTTGAATTGGTCGTTTTCAAGCAGTCGAGCTACACAGCAGATGAATGTAAACGAAACTATTATAATCTGTTATCAATATGATCTTGTCTGGTCTGTGAAATTGCGACTTCTAATTTAGGTAAATTAATTGAGATTATTGAAGTGTATGAAACCGGTGTCAGTTCGGCACAAGGAAGTAATGAGTGCACAAATTGAGATGTATGGATTGTACAATCACTATGATTTTGTTGTCGAATGATTTTGATGATTATGAAGATGATGATAATCAGTCCAGACGAACAAATGGTAGGTATTGAATGAGATTCACCTACACTATTTCTTGTAATCTGATATTAGTTAGAATTTGACACTTATTTCTTTCTATTGTTCAAGATACCACAGATGAATTCTCACAAATGAATGGAAAAAACGACAATAATGGACTGATTAATGGTAATTCTGTTGTGGTTTCACAGCTCAAATCCAAACGAAAACGGACCTACAGCCTCTCATCTACACTTCCCTGGTATGCTTGGTTTACACTACCAAGATTTTGGCTGAGCTGTTCTACATTCAGTATAATGCGTCTTAGTGTAACTGTTTCTGTGGTAAGTAAGTGATGAATCATTGAAATACCTAATAGAATGACGAAAAGTAAAGATAATTTTCTTTACAGAACCTCTCCTATGGGATCATATTTAGGAAGTCTGTTTCAGAATTATAACTCAATCAGGGTTTTATGGTTGAAATATTGGATGGAGATGAGATTTACATGAAAATAAGTGAAATATCGACCAACTGGAAAACATTGAATTGTTAATTGACTATATGTTAAAAGTACCATCAAAATGAAATGCATCCTTCCAATAAATGATGTCGAAAAATGATTACAATATATTCTATAAATCAGATGATGGCGCACGACTTTACCGAGCAAGAATATCAGGAATCAATGAAATAAATTGAGCTCTTCTTTGAGACCGGATATACCATTTTCCACTTCAATTGTAGGAGGTCTGAACAAATAAGGTTTCAGAATTCAGATGGCAAGTAGAAATAGTGACCTAAAACATCGATGGAAGATGCACATGTATCGAAAACTTTGGTTGTTTAGATAAATATCGCACCTAGTAGCAATTGGATCATTAATCTGATTACGAATTATTCAAGCTATTTCGCAGTAATGAATAGTGTAGCATAATATGTAGAACAGCATGCGACAAAGAGATGAGCCTAAAACATGAGAAGCGAAATGGACGCTACTTCAAGTGGGTTCGTGATCAGTGTTAACTATGCGGTATTCAGCTTATTCCGTGAAGCTTGAAGCTGAAGTATGCGATATTTTGTCATTACCTCTCAGACGCCCAATCGAGAAATACTTTTGTAAGCTGTAACGATAGTAGCTACAATGTAGAAAAATATATCAGTGGGGAAATCTTCTGATTATATTAAAAATTACATAGTAATCCGATATAGCTTAGTTGAGATGCTTTGATAACAAATATGAACATGTAGTACTGTAATACTAGTCCTATCTTCCATGCTTGAGACCACGTGTCTCTGTGATCATTAGTACACAGCTGAAGTCGACAGTCAGTGACTTTGTGAACTAGCGTTATGTTAAGGATGCTCATAATGTTTCCCTAATGAATTCTATTCATGCATCATTCAGTCTTCGTGATGGACTTCAGTCAAATTCGACCAAGATAATTAGTACATTCACTTTCTATATTCATTTAATGCATAAACGTTTCACTGTTCTTTCACAAGATTCTTTTCATTATTCATTTTTGTTAGATAACTTTGCCGTTTTGTGTTGAATTTTTGATATATTTAAATGGTATAGCAGTTTAACTTGATTTGATCTACTTTCAATGAATGATCTATTTCAACTTCCGTAAATTCATTATTGATGAAATTCAACGTTAAGCTCTCAATATCAAATAAGTGTTTCGAACTATCAGAAACACATATAAAGTTAGGTACATAGATTAAAGCACTAAGAGCACAGGTCGGATAAAGAATCACTTTAATTAGTTCTTCACAGAAACTCTAAACTAATATACACGTTCTAAAATTAGGACTAAAGTCAATGCCATATAAATGGTGGTTGGTCAGTTTAACAATGTATTTCAAAATTTCCTCAAAAAGTAGTCATCAGTTAATAAATAAACGGATACAAAATTCGATCTGAAGACGAGAGTACGTATTCAGATCATCGCATCAACTCCTCACCAACACGGGGTTTAACGGTGATAATCTCCGTGCTCAGTGAATTCACGAAATGGAGCAAACCGGATTCATTGCCTGTGGTGGATAATTGTCTCACACTGGACATTGTTGAATTCGACTGGTCACAGCCTCTCTCTTGAACTAAAGCTAGCATACTTACAATAGTGAAATAGATTTGATCTGAATATGTGGCGATTGTGACAGACTTAATTCAACTGAATAAATATAATTAGTGAGAGAATGTTCTGGATCACCAGGTATAATGAGTATAAATCATAGAGGTAAGACAATTAATTGACTACGTAATGAGATGGCTGAACACAAACTGATTGTAATTAAGAATAAAATATGTTGAAATCAATTAGATAAAACTCAAATTATGAATTTTCAAGAAGTGATGTAATTGAGATAAGAGAATGAGTTCCAAAAATGATCAGATAAATTATCGATAGAGTCAACTTAGTATGGAATTTACAATTATCTCCTTTTTTATGTAGAAATTCTGCCTGAGTCTTTTGGTATCTGTAGCTTCAGGAAAACTCCAAAATAAAAGGATTTTAATTTCAGTTGATTATTCTAGGATACTTCAGTGCATCAGCTCAATTAAATGTGTCAATAAATTATTTTGAAATAGCTCTATTGCAACACTATTAACTGCTGGTCTATAATGTGTTATGAATAACTGATAACTCGTGATTAATTACTTATTGAAAGGATACTTTCATTATGACTATCGACTAACTGTTAATTCATGAAAATAATTGCTCATATTGACTTATGTATTATTTATTATATTCTTAGTGAATACAAAACAATTTACCATTCAGAGAAAAACATATCCTACTACAATAAATCTACTCACAACTAAATAAATAGATAGGTTAGACAGTAAACTTTACGAATTTAACAAGGAAAGCAAATTGGTTGGTAATCAAATCTATAAGGCTCATTTCTCTTTATTCAAGAATGGTCAACTGTGCTTACTTGCATCTATAATGGTAGTTGCATTGAAATTGTATGACATATGTATATCTGGTTTGTTACGTACACTAAGGAATAGCTCATGACTTTACCCAACCATCATATATCAGTTCTGCACAAAAGCACATGCGAAGATGTGCATAATTCGGAATCTGTGCTAACATTAACTTTAAACATGTGCTTTGAATTTTAGTATATTTTGCATGTGGCTGACTATGAAATCCAGGATATGAGTTTCGTTGTATACGGATTTCATGATTCGGATATAGCAGTATTTTAGTGTCAATCCTCTCATCTAAGATTGAGCACCTTACCTTTACGTTCAAATTGAATAAATATGCCATATCACGAAAATTTCTATTGACCACTGAAGTTAAATAGCAGCTAGTAAAAGAATCCTAGACTCGTGTTTCGTTTTCTTAAAAAAACTAGTATCCAGTAACATCCAGCGGACGAGCCTTGGGCAATATGAATCTCGGTCCTGAATTCCACTGCCAACCACATAAATATATAAAAAATCTACGACTATAGATTATTATACAGCGATCCGAACGCAAGCGATTAATTCCTGTTCTGAATACTAGCCGTATAAACTTGCAAACCCTTAATTGTGTACGTTTTAAATCCCTTAATATATAAAATGAGAAATTTACTAATATTTGTTTTCTAATTGCTATTTTCCTAGATGTATATGGGTCCATTTTTGTTGAATTCATTAAAAATGGATAAAAGTTCAATGGTTTCTGCCCCATTAGTTACCACAATTTCTTGTTTGATTACATCAGTTGGTGTACAAAGGATTAATAAAGTACTTGGGAATTATGTAAGTAGAAGGGATTGACGATTTCAACAACATTGAAATCAAGTTAAAACTTTATTACTGAAAAATATCTCACATTTTGTTAAGCGCTGATTCATAACAGTTTGGTTGACTACATTTTAAACCTCATTCATGATTTATTTGTCATTCGAATACAGCTTGATCTGTCTGTCTGCAATCCGCAATGAAATATTCACAGGTTCTCTCCACCATAAACCGTTTAACGTAGTATTTAAACTGTTTTAAAACGTTTAGAATAATCTAAGTGTTAATAGATGTTTGCAAAAATGAACTGTAATTTTACGACCTGATGAGGCTTCGATCGAGAAAGAATAATTCAAGTCCATAACTATAAGAATATCACTCTTGAATTTTATAATGTTGAAGAGATCTGGAATGGGGCCTCACACGATGTTAAACAGAACACATTGAGAAATAATTTCGATGGTTTACGAGTACATTTTGATTTGTCGGTGTTAACAAGTAGTCTGAGTAGTAGATCGACATCGAGCCGAAAGGACCTAACTGGCCAAACGTCTCATGTGATAAAGGCAAAGAAAACAACTTGATCAATCAAACAGATTACAGCTTTAGTCATGAGTGAATCAACAGAATTACTAATGTTACTCAGATACTGAAAAATATTCATAATAATCATATTGGCTGATATAAATGATATGTTTGACTTACTCTGATGAAGTCTCATGTGGCAGTTTGTATTGCAGAAGGCTGTATCGAAGTAACACACTTATAGGTAGCTTTACTCAAACACTCGGACATCTGTAAGTATCTGGAAGCACCGTCCAATATCCAGACATATGATGCAGCACATGAGGTTGAATTAGACAACAGATTAAGTTAGATATTTTCTCTATAACTTAATATATTTCCAACACTTATCAACTCACCACTGAATTCACAGTTTTCAATAAGACAATGGTAATTAAGATTAGAGTAGTTCTTTCATTATACATAGCTATTTACTCTTTACTCATGTAACGTAACGTTCAATTCAGTATTTCTTACACAATCGTCAGCAGTTTCGAATCTTACTTAATTCATCATATAACTAACACACAATCGAATCACTTGAAATAATTTGTCCACATTCAATGGATTGTATCGTATTAACTTGAAGGAGCTGCATTTTTTCACATATGTTGGTCAGTCAGTCTTGACAAGTGAATACACAGAGATGAAAACTCACTAATGAATAGTGAAAAGAAGTAGATACTGTGAAGGTGGATTTCGTCACTGACTGGTATTATCAATAGAATCATGCAAAGTCAGAGAGCATTTACTCTACAGATAACGAATTCTAACTCACAACTAGGCAACACATTTATGCTCATTTTGCATTCTTTGACATTTTAAAATAATGGAGACAGTTGAGCGAAAGCAGTAGGACTAGATATCATATAATTATCATATCATATAATTGTCACGAAATCTAATCAATTAAATTAATTTGAATACAATCAATGGATTGCATCTTATCAATTTTAAGGAGCTGCAGTTTTTCATATACGTTGGTCATTTAGTCTCGACAAACAACACCAGTGAGATATTAGTATGCAAACCGACCACTCACACATAGCACATCATGACTTTAAAGATTTCAGAGTAGAATTTTAAATGTCTGTCGCTAGTTGATAATACTCTAAATGGTCAATTACTCATCTTGCCAATGATTGGCTTGACTTGATGCAATATATATTTTTGCGATGGCTTTACTATTCATACGTGAATTTCGATAAGCATTTTGAAAAACTCAGCACATTTGTCTATCTTACAACATGATAGATATGTATAACTTATATCTCCTTGAGTGTGTAAATGTTCCTCTAAAAATCGTACATGCCTTTTTAATTTTAGATTGGCTCAGTCGTCGGTGTTCTATTTATCCTTGGATTTTGTACAATCGCTTACTTTTTAAACTCAGCCGATGAAAACCTCTTAGCAATATATTTTGCTGCAGCCATTCTAGGCATTGGAAACACAATCAATAATGTTCGAGCATTGGTTGTGATCACAACATTGATCGGTGTAAAACAAGTACACACAGCAGCATTTGTTCATGGGATCGCATCATTTTTCGATAAAATTTTGACTGGTGTCTTCATTCAATGCATACAACTCTGTGTACCTCAGTTAACTTATAGACATATACAAGTGTATATTGTAGGTAGTTTGGCAATATTCGGTGGTATTCTAGCGACAATTGGTAATTTCATTTATTCAGAGACTTTAGAAAGTACAGATGCACCATGTCTTTCGTGTTTTTGTCAAAGAACAACTTCATCGTCGCCTCCGTCACCAACGAAATTTCAGAGTGATCAAACCTTTAACCGTGATGTTCGAAACCAAAAGGAAAACAGCGATAACTGTCAATGCTGACCAACATATTTATGTATCATTAATACAAGTCTTTCCACATGCAACAAAACGTCTCCATTTTCTATCTCTATACCATTTTTCAGTCTATCAGGTAATTGATGTATATTTACCTACTGTTCCCTTCAAAGAAACCCGATCTATTATGATACATTTCAACATGAAATCCATACCTTTCTTAAGCAATCTACCATCGAATACTTAATTCAACCTTTCCACTGAATATTTTATTTTTGTATACATCAGGCTGGAATACTTAGACACTTGATGTAAATTAAGAATATGGAGTACTCATAATATTTGTTATTTTGGTGGATTATTGTATTAATTATCAATAGTTATTCATAATTGATTCTTCGACAGATGTTTTCTCTGTAAACAAACAGGAGTCAGAGTGTAGATAACATTTTTTAAATAAAACAAGTAGAAATAAATTGTCCCAACCAACAAGTATTCTAACTTTGTTCATTAACTTCAAAACTGGTTTACACTAGCTGATGAAGAAATGGAAATTATGGACTGACGATTATTTGTTGTGTCCTGAACTCCCCATCACAATAAACTGTGATTAGTTTTTGATTTATATTGTGACAAATTAAAAGGTGAGATAAGTATGAGGTTACTGTAAATTCTGATTAGATATTTTATATAATTTGACAATAGTTTGAGTGAATGTTTGGTATGCACTTGAAGAGGTTGGAGAAATCAAAGAAGTACTGGACAACCGTTTCATCCTATTTAGGGGCTTTATAGCAATGTACATCCACGACTGTAAAAGAGACATTTCACAGTGAGTATAGCCCTTCCAAATCTTTGAATCAGAATCAATTTGTCAACATTTTATGAAATGGCGAGACAGCAGTTAGCTCACACCCGATTTGTTTGACTTTGCAATTCACAGCTTCCCATCATGGCTTTGAGAAATACATCACGAAGCTAGTCAATAACAAGCGTATGACCATTAACTAGAAAGATGTTTTGTAGAAACTTCTTTGATTTAAATATAGTTTCTATGACTCATCGTCCCATATTCTCAACAAGAATGCGTCGTGGTCCTATTCAATAAGTCATTATGATTTAGAAGCATACTATGACAACTTATGAGGTTAGATCTGCAAGTTTCAAGACATCAGTTCTTTGAGAAAATGTTAACGGTATATAATCCTGATGTAATAATAAGATGGTTTATTAGTTAATCCAGATAGTAAATGGACATTTAATCATTAGGTTATATCAAACTAAAATTATTAAAGTGTCGGACCATTGATTTCGTGATGTTAATATTAAGCGACTGATTGTCTATTGAACGTCGTTCCTTAACTAAAGAGCATAACATGCTCAGGTAACATCTGTTTCTCCTACAAATAGCATTAGATATAAATCTTCCGTAGCTTACTTCACGGACTGACTGTGGCTAGACAACCATAGAAAACCAGAGAGGACTGGATAGCAGCCTTATCCTAGTACGGGACTCGTTATCAGTGCATACCCATGGTCCCACTAGGGATTGAACCCAGGAATTCAGTTGTCAAATCACACGTTTGACCGTTAGTGTCTAATCATACGTTTCCAGTCGGATATCAGAATAAAATATTTCTATCAACTCGAGATATAAAAAGGTGATCAATTAACAGTATTTCCCAACGATTAAATCTTACATTCCTGATGATTAGATTCAAATGAGTATCAAGGTATACAATTGCAGGATGGTAAACATTTATACTTATACAATGAAGTGGTTAATTAGTTATGAAATACTGTCACTCTCGTCCTGTAGTTGCTATATGAATTTCATCATCTTACCAATTTATAAAGGTTATCTCATCGAAGCTTCGTTTTTGGTAAGAAAACAGATTAAACATGAATGTCTCAGAAACGGGTATTTCCATATTTCATTGCAAAGCCTTAACCTAAAGAGTCAATCGACTTAAAGGTAAAGAGGATGACTACCGATAAAAATAGATTTATTTATTTATTATTATCAGCTTTATTCAATATTATATTTGTGGTACAATATAGAATTATCAGCGTAAAGTTTTTCAACAAGTTTCCGTTTCTTTCTTCTTCGTTGGTCCTGGCGATAAATATCGAGTGATCGCCAGTTAGATGTTAGCAGTTCAATAAATGAACATTTGAATAATGTGCATTCTTTTCTCTGTATATTGCCAGCAACCACAATTTCTCTTATTGAGTTTTTTGTAACTTTGACAACGGAAGGTTGTACACTTTTCAGAAACGCAGCAGAATAGGTTATGCGATTAATAAACATAATGATATATTAAAACAAACAAAAATAGACAACTTGTTGAAATATCTAGATGAGAGGAACAGGTAACCCAGATGCTCAAGCAGGCCGCCCTTTTGGTGTATGATGATAATCGAATGTAATAACGAACAGACTGAAATTGTGAACTTGACTTGGTGACCGTAATATAATCAGTTACTACTGAGAAGTTATAGGCTAGGGTAAAATAGCTGTCTGATAGGCCTTGCATTTTTTTTGTCATGGATGGTACTGAAAAATCCAATTTCGTTTTGTACATAATTTTGAGTTTAACACTCAGTGATAGTCATCGTTATTATTTAAGACTCTAGCGCAAATCAGAGGGAACTACATAATAACTTTAGAAAGGACCAGTATAAACATAGAAATAATAGTTGGAATAAATTTTCAAAAGTTTCTTCTACTTTAAAGCTATATGGTAATTTTGAAAGTTCCCTCATGAACTGACTATATAGTGATAACGGTAAAGTGTGAAATAACAGTAGTGTGAAAAATGTAAATAAGTCACACAAGATATCAATACAAAAATGTTGTCTTACTTCATAGTACCGTACGGTAAAATCCACGAAAAGAGTAATATTAAGTGAAATGATAAAAATGGGAACATTTGTGCTACCAAAATTGGTTTTTAGCCATCTATCTCTAACCACTAACTCCCTTATACTATAAATATCTAAATACAGGTTTTTGATAGTGAAACCATGCTTCTAAAGAGAAGGAAATGATACGTAATTAATTAGAATCCCAATAAGTTTATTGTAGTTACTTCCGAGACAAAATTGTATTGGCAAATTAAGTCAAACGATACAAGATTATGAGATGCACAAATTCCGAAAAACAACATACAGACAAATACAATATGTAACAAAGTTTTATTTATGGTATTTGGTAGATAGTACTTCTTTGATCTTATTCACAAGATCTGTGTACAAAACTTCATATTCTTCTCGGGTTTGAATATCTCTTAACTTGACAGTGTTACGAGCTAGTTCACTTTCTCCTAGAACAACGGCCAAAGGAATACCAGTTGATTCACAATATTGTAGTTGATCCAAAAGTTTGGGGTGATTTTTATGCGACATCGTAGCCTGTGAATTAAGCGTTTCGAAGTAAAAGTATAATTATGTATTAGGTATGATCTATTGGTGACAGTAATAATAGAACAGCATCAATAATATGAGAGGACAATAGGAAATTTAATTTTTGATATAATTTAATCATTCATGTACAAAATATCTTGAGAACTGTAGGAACAATTGTACAACTACTACTTAAGAACTTCACTTTGAATTAGTGAAAATAAGTTCAACCGCTATCCTGTTTGAGTCCACTAGTCATCAACGTAGAGCCTGACAGATGTGCGTTGGCTCAAGTTGCTATATTATATCACCACTGTGAAACCAAATTAATAAGACTTGTAGTAAAAGAGACTGAAGTAATGTAGTGATAATGATTATGGAAAAGACTATGCATCGAGAAAAGATAGTAAAGGTACATATGAAGGAATACTAAAATTCAATATTGAGAATAAAATAGAAAGTGAATGTCTATGCGAATTCATGAACGGTTATTAGTTATGTCATACAACGCCTCTAGTCACAAGTTCCGGTTATCGCTCCGGCATCAATCACATAATCTCCATCTAACAACGTGGCCCAGATCAACAATCAATGACTTCATGGACTGATACCATGTCCTGGTTTGTCTGGTACGAGCTTTATTCCAACGTAATCCTAAACTAGACATTCCCCCATCACGGTTATCAGTGAGTGGGCGTGCCTAATACAGATCATAACCACTGCAATCAATGAAGGTTGATAGTTTCATCAACCAAGCCGCTACATTAACCTGGTAACCCGTAACTAACATCAACATTACTTCTGTTTAAGTCCTCGAATAAGTATCATTAGTATGTAAGATTTTTCCTACAGATATTCTACCAGAACTGTAAACGCGATACTGAATATCCAGAGTTTATGCGAAAGTTATGGTCACAATAAGAACAACTTGACTTTAAACTTTGTCTGTCTCTAAACGTCAAAAACAATTCAACTAGTACAATAATTAAAGGAATTATAGTCATTAAGTGAAACACACAATCATACCGACTAGTATTACGTATCTTATCGAAATGAATAAAAAATTATTTGCAGTCACACTAATGTGATAGCATAATAGTGTCCTTCAATCGCCAGGTCACATGAAACAGGGATAGTCTACATACACATCAGACCAGGTTGACGTGATGAGCATTTAAGCAGCGATATGATTGGTTAGTTATGGACATAAATATAAAGTGAATAGTTGAATTCATGGGCCAATTGAAGCTAGAACACCATGGAAAACCTGGAAGCACTGGGTGGCCGTTTCATCCTAGTATGGGACTCCTCAGTAGTGCACACCCACGAATCCCACTACGCGAGGTTCGAACCCAGGACCTATTGGTCTCGTGCTTCATCTAATTTGACAAACCATGCAACCATAAAAAGGAAAGCAAGAGATTTGAAATAATAATAATAGAAACAAACCAAATGGGATATAATTTTAAAAGCAGGAATAAAATTAAAAAACGGAAAGTACAAGATAACATTCAAAGGGAGATTCCTTCTTCATAATTATAGTTAAAAAATTTGAAAGATTGATGTTATTTAAGTATTGGATTGTCTGGTTGTAACTGTTTGTCAATATGACAAGAAGTAATTCGTTTTCTTAATGTTATGAGACTGTTTCTTTTGCAAAATAGATTAAGAATATATTTTGTTACTTATATTAACATTAAAACATTTGAATCAATCAAATGAAACTTAAGAACGAAATGCTTACCTTAATCTTTGCATTCCATAAGAGTTGACAACATTGTAAACGTTGCATAATAAGACCCTTATGAGCTCCAGCAACCATGACTTCAGTTTCAGTTGGTCGAACGTTACACTTATTCTTATCTGAAGAATTACTCAAAGCTTCTTTAATTGCTAATAGTCGTTCAACACCAAAACTAAAACCAACACACGGAACTCGTGTTCCAGAAGAATCGAACATTCCAACTAAACCATCGTAACGGCCACCACCAGCTACACTACCAACAGTCATGGATTCGCCAGGTGTAACAGGATCCTCATCTAACTGTTCTTTGGCCTTCTTATCCTTTTTACTTGATTTTTTATTTTTTACAGAGGAGTTTAAGTTAGTTTCATTAGAACCAGTCAATTCTGCACCTGAATTACTTGGATTGTAAGTGAAACCTGTTATGTGAAACAAACAGTGGACTTCATTTAAATATTGGATTGTATTTTTGGCAAAATGAGATCAAAGTAGGCTACGAATACATTTTATTGAATTTATAATAATAATAAAAGAAAAGAATCTGTCCCATATACAATAAATTGTGTACGGTAAGGTGTCAATAAACAAACTGGGCTGTAGCAAGTACTTACAAACAACAAGACAGCAATAATTAGCCAGTCAGTCAACCATAAATAACGTAAAACCTGACACCAGTTCAGTTCGTGTTGATGCAATGTGGGAACTTGCACCGATGAATATATGTAACACATTCTACGTTCCGTATAACTACTAACAAAAGGCTTTGTTGGCGAAGAGGTTTTCTGCAATTTAATTAAAAGAAATTCTCGATTGTTGAGATCAACGAATAGAATGGGAACCGATAGATAAACGTTATGGTGGCCAAATAATGGCTGCTCATGAGACCGTATTATTGACTTCAGTTCACGAAAGATCATAAATCGAAAACAATACCACTAGCCAAATAAATAGTTTTCTATGTAATAAAATAGCATGTTTACATAAAAAAACATGAACACAAAATAAACATGATAAAATTTCATAGGCGATTGTAGGAAATTAGCTTGTATGTCAATTAATATCCAATTAGTTAAGGCCTAACTGTTAGAACTAAACTTTGAGCTTCGTATCAGGTTTAAAATAAACAGATGAAAGGGTGTCGAATTATCTATATTTTTGTTTGTATTATGACCTTTTATTTGCTACGCAATCGGTAAAATATAAACACAATAGTATAGCAACGCACGCAATTAGTGTTCAATAAAGCACTCTTAATGCACGCCCCGACTATTGGAAAGGTGAAAAAGATAAGCCTGGACTTAGACTACAAAGAATATATTTCCCGGAAAAATACCACGTTCATATGCAGATCTTCCTTTCAGTAATTATTAATTACATTTTCATACAGAAAAATAGCAAAACTGAGTAAACACATCACAAAGGTTATCAGAATACAGTAGAGTAACGTACTGAAATGATTAATAACCAAGATTGATATGACAGTTAAGAATTAGGTCTGGAAGTCAGGTTTTAGTTGCTCGTGGAGTGAATGATCTACACACTGATTCCCTTCAACGCGCTATGAAATTTTGTTTTTTCGGATTAATATTTTATGCTTAACCACGTCACGCTATCGCGTAAAAAAAATTTCTTTCTGTATGGTAGCCTTATCTTTAATATCGAATCACTTGGAGGCTCAAGTCAATAGTTCGTTCATCCATATCGTATCATTGCCCATCATCTATTGATCAGTATTTTTTCTTTCATTCAAACAGTCCAAGATCCGTTTATCAAATCAATAAACCTCAATGACTATCATACTGAATTAATCAATAATCTTACTCTTGACTGATTTATTATTAGTTTGTCTTTACCACTACTAGTATGAACCGATGATGTATGTTGCCGAGAAATATACTAATCGGCTTTATTACTTCAAAAACCTTCACGGTCACAAAGAATCAGATTCTATATGTGTAGCAATTTCTCAGAGTCTATTATTAGTATTCATGTACACAGAATATCTACTGGTGACAATTCTTACTTGGAAAATACTTCACGAACCAGATAATTAAATATGTAATTGATTAGACCGATCAGTAAGCATAAAAATTATGGGAGACTAACAAAATAATAATTTATGATTAATTTGTTCATCAGGTATTTGGGCATAAGCCACAATCTAATGATAAGGACTAGTCACGCTACCCGCTTTCCCAAACCAAATTAGGTGGGGCAGAGTTCGAACCAGGAGCTTATTGACCGGAAGTTGAACACCTCAATCACAGGAGGCATTGTAGTGGCTGATCCTATGTCAAGCCCACATAGCTTATTCTAGGTTCTGCACTAATCAATTCATCCATTCTTCTTAAGGTACATTGACTTTTTATGAGTGTATGTGCGTACATTGGTTTTCCTACTCATCACATGTCTGTAACTTATTTTTGGTCTGACTATAAATATTGATTCACGCTTGGTTAAATTGAGTTGGCTCGCTCGCCTTTTCACCGAGCGTCATTTAGTCCCGCTTTTCTCTCTCCCATTCTCTTCCTTCGCTGTCTCCCCGATTGTCTGTGCAGATCAACTTTACGAAATAAACGTATTTAAAACTCCGTTCTCGTATTTGACTTATTAAATTCCGTTATTCACTAGCGCGATTTAAGTTGATCATTATATACGAGAGTAGCCAGGGTGTATATTTCAATAACAATCAGAAACGATTTAACTGGAAACAGATCTACGGCCGTAACAACGTAAAATATACATAACTAGATGAGCCAAAGTAACCAATGAAGATAGTCGTGTACGAGAACAAGATTCAAACAAATGCTTAATTAAAAGTATGAAATCAATGAAATTGGTAAACTTTAAACAGGAATAAACATTGATTATAGTCCTTTTTTAAAAACTGAGGATGCGACTAATGGTTTCGTTGAGACAGTAATTCATCAGTCAGTCAGTCAGTAACAACGTAGAACTTCGTACCGACTTACATCAGTTCGAGTTGCAACACATTAGCACAGAGATGCAGTGGTCGATTCAAATCCCGTAGTGGTAGAGGTAATAAAAGTATAAGCAGTAAACGGGAAAACTAGTGTTTGGAGATGTTACTTAAAGAGTATAATACAGTGAAATAAGTTTGGGAAGAGAAAAAAAGAGACAAGGGGGAATAAGGAGATCAAAATTTGGGAGAACACAAAGAGTGGATGCACCTGCGCCATTGCAAACGATTTTGAGCCATGTCATTCAAAGTCCCTAACCATCGGTTGCTATCATCTTGCGGTCCCCAACCAGGTAGTCTACACCTACCAACATGACTCAGTCCACTTGTCAGTGACTTCATGGACTTGTGCCATGTCTTGGTCTGGCCGCCCTTATCTTTCTTCCAACCTACTCCTATACCACTGAACATCTCACGTCGAGGCAATCGGTCGTTGAGCATACGTAACACGTGTCCCAACCATTTCAACTGATGAAGTTTCACCACTTCATCAATTGATTTGTCATCCTTACCTAGTACCCGTTTCCTAACAACTGCATTACTTACTCGAGGGTCCCAGGATATACGAGCAATATTTCGAAGACACCTATGATCAAATATTAGTAACCTACGAATATCCTCTACTCTTACCGGCCATGTTTCACTGCCATAAAGTAGGACGGAAAGAACTGCTGCGCAGTAAACCCGTCCTTTGGTTGTACGAATGACAGCAACACAATTAACATAGTCACATTGATGAGTTATTTATAAGATTATCAGAGCTCACACATTTTTAGGTGCTTATTTTGTTGAAGGATGATAAAAGCTGTACAAACAAACTATATATTACAGAAAACACAACTCTAGCAAAATTGCAATACATTTTTGTTTTACTAAAATCCTTAATGAAACATGGAAACATTTGATAAGCTCATTGGACAAACCTTTCAAAACAGCTTCGTAAATAACACCGGTATAGTAATCCAACCCGCGCGCTAGACTTAGATCGAAGCTAATTCGCTCTTCTATCCCAAGTGCTTTACAATAGTCTAATAATAATCTCATTTCCTGAAGAGCGGCTTTAGCTGATGGTTGATTATTAAGATGCTCATCTGATTCGAGACGTTCAACTAGATCCAAACCTCCAGTTAACTGAACATACGAACCAATTTTATCTGCAGATTCAGGTGACAACCCTCTGTCTTCACATAATTCCCGTCTGACATCTTCCCAAGGAATCTAGAAAATGCAAGAGGAATGTAAATTACAGACAAGGTTCATGAACACAAAGGTTGGTATGAATATATTTATTCAAATGCACAAAATCTTCTGACCTATAATGTTGCACAAATCCACAGAAAAGCTTTAAATATATATAACTAAAAATGGATTTAATCAACAGAATATAAAACTGAAACCCTAACGGGGTAAATTACGCAAGACTGTTAACTAATGCGTGTATATCAAAGCAGTACTATTTCAATAATTGCTGTAAGTTTCCTTTATTTAAGCTTCAGAATCACAATCCTCGGATCTTGGAAACAAAAGAAACAATTATGAATAGGTTGAAGAAACATATTTACAATGATCTTAAAATCAAAAGGCGTGATTGTTTTAGACACGTGTAGAATTTCCGATGCTAGTGTCCACGTTCATATCATGTAAAAATCTCGGCTACTAAACACTAACACTGATTTATTAAGTACTGACTGTTACACTATCACTGTACTGGGTTGATCATACAAACACTTAATTCGCAACCTACCATAATAGTTGTTGAAGTCGCTTCTGGTTCAAAATCTATTAGATTTTATAGACATTTTTCTAGAAGTTCAAAAGAATCACTTTATCTAAATGGAACCTATTACTGAACTAACAACCTATTATATTGAAATAAGTGAAGCAAACATTCCATTTAGAGTACTTCACTTTTAATTATAGTATTGTAAGTATGAACTTCATCCAAGTAGTGTCACTAGCTCTTGTGAAGATTGTGTGGTCCAAGTTTGAGTATATGGATTGCTACTGCACAATACCATCAATCTAGAAGTAAAGAGACCCATTTACCCTTATTTTCATCAAGAATAATGACTTATCAAACGTATCACAAATATACGTAAATAGTTCCGGGGTACCAAGTATATCGTAACAACAAATAAGCAGTAAAGAAATATTGTGTGTCAATAAGCAAGCTATTTGTCAACAAATGTGATTTACATGACATCAGCACTCTATACCAGTGTTTCAACGTAGAAAATGAACCAATAGTGTTAACTAGTTATTTTACCAGTAGTAATGTTGTGGTGTGAGCTACTTATATTGATATAAGTAGTATATAACGTGCGTTAAAGGAACGTAATGTCTGGCAGCGGAAGATGGCGAAGATCAAGAAAGGTAGAGTGAGAACACATTGGAATTTGTAAGAAAATGCATGAACAATGGAATGGGAGACAATGGATTGGTGTTTGCAACAGAAAACAGTCCAGTTTAGTTTGATACATGAATATTTTGCAAATTGACGATTGACTATATGGTATTCAGAATTTGTAGAGATAGACTGTAATTGTTGTGCTAAATACATCTGTTTGTCCCCACCCGTGTTCTCGTTCACTACAATGTGGTCAATGTCAAGTTATTTCGTATGATTTAGTTCTAAATCGCGTCATCACATTCAACATAAATGTGCGATTCCATCGCAAAAACAATTTAATTCTACAAAATGTGATTAATTCCTTTGTAACTGGAACAATGGAGTATCAAGACATTCACTTCATGTATTATTCGGCTATACAATTTTATATGACGTTAATTTTTTATTGCAAGAAAGTAAACTGCTTCCCTATCGATGTATGATTGCTTTTACATTCACAAAATTTACTAATTAAGTGAAAAAACTTTGCCAGTGAATATTCAATATAAGTTAATTAGAGGAACAGAAAGGTACCGGGCTGATTAAAAAGTTACTCAGTAACTTTATTTTTGGGGGCATAGAATCGTAATCATGCTTAGTTTCTGATGATAATTTGTAATATTTATTATAGATAATTACATCTTGAGTGTAGTAATATAAGAACAAATATGCAGAGGCATTCTTAATGAGACTAAAACCAGAATTAAGTTTGAATAATTAAGAATGCCAAAAGCACTACATTAAGGAATATGGAAAATATTGCAGAACATTCCGAAAATAAATTACGAAACAGAGTGCTTCCACGAATGTTTTCTAGGTATTGAAATACTAAACTTAAGATCTAATAAATATGCTTGACGCAGATTCTCTAGATGCAGATTAAAAACCATCAGGGCTGCCTTCGATTCGTTGGACAGGACTGTTCTCTGGGATTGTCTATTGAAGAAGGGTGTGTCTGAGAAGTTTATTAACATCCTAAATGCCCTATATAAAAACACCTCAGGCAGAGTGAGGGCATACAACCACCTCTCTCCATTGTTCCATTCGAGTAGTGGGGTTAGGCAGGGTTGCCCAATCTCACCATTCCTCTTCAACTTTGCCATCGATGACATTCTGGAAACAGCTCTGATGAATGTAAGTAATGGTGGTGTGGATCTGTTGCCTGGAGAAAGACTTCTCGACCTTGAGTATGCGGACGATATTGTCATACTGTGCGATAATATCCAACCATGCAATCCGCACTTAATCAGTTGGCAATCAGTGTCCGTAGGTATGGTATGTGCTTTGCACCTTCGAAGTGCAAAGTACTTCTACAAGACTGGCAGGATTCCAATCCTGTACTCACCCTGGATGGTGAGCAGATAGACGTAGTCGAGAAGTTCGTGTATCTGGGTAGCTGCATAAGTGTTGGTGGGGGTGTGGGTGATGAGATCAATGCACGTATAGTGAAAGCCAGAGCGGCTTATGCCAATCTGGGCCACCTTTGGCGCCTTCGTGATGTTAGTCTGGCTGTAAAAGGTCGAATCTACAACGCGTCGGTGAGAGCAGTTTTGCTCTATGCTTGTGAATCCTGGCCTCTCCGAGTTGAGGACGTTAGACGACTCTCTGTGTTCGATCATCGCTGTCTCCGAGGGATCGCTGACATTCAGTGGCAACACCATGTCAGTAATGCAGAGGTTCGGCATCGTGTGTTCGGGCACAGAGATGATAATTCAATTGGTGTCACCATCTTGAAACACCGACTTCGGTGGCGTGGACATGTTCTACGAATGTCGTCCCAGAGAATTCCACGTCGTGCATTATTCACCGACTCTGGGACTGGTTGGAAAAAGCGGAGAGGTGGTCAGTGCATGACATGGTGTCGTGGTATGAAAGAAAGCTGCAAAGGACTGGCTTCTGTCGGTCCTTCACGACTCCCTGGTTGGAGTCTGAGAGATGGTGCTACACAGTGGCTAGAGACGTTATCAGATATAGCTCAGAATAGAAGCCAGTGGCGATCCTGCTGTAACCTTCTTTTACTTTCTTCATAAAACGTGGTTGTGTCTCCCTTACCTGAAAGATTTCTTCTGATTGTACCTCTCCGATCCCTCGTTACTACCACACTACCTTACACCAATCTCTTCGTTATCGTTCTCCTTTTCTTTTGCGCTCCTTAGTTGTTTTTTTTCTATCTCTCTTCGAATTTTCATTGTTTTGTGTGGCGCATATATATTGGCGCTCTCTTGTACCAATATTTATGTGTTCAAATAAATAAATAACATTAAAAACATGCCTAGCTGAATACCATGAAAAATAGGTTGAATCAATGATAACCATGATATGGATATTTACGTAGACTTTACAATGCACAGAAATGTCATGTGAAGCTGGTATGTAGATTTAGGAACTCAAGTTACAGGTTCGGATTCTTTTATTAATTAAGGTTTGAGCAAAATAATAATATTGTTAGGTCTAACTACAGGTTTATTTCATAGCTTAGTAGATAAACCAATGGCTGGTCATTATATTTTCTTCGCTTTGTTACATAAAGAAATCTACAAAATGGTAACTGAACAAATCTAATATCTACCTTGTCTAGTTTGTCAACTGAGGAACAAGCTGAAACAAACTTATCCGATGGCACATTACAAGCCGAAAACAATCCATCAAGCAAACGTCTGTGGTTGATCTTTATGACAAAATCGCCTAAATCCAATTCTGAAAGCACTTCGTATATTATTCGAAGGCATTCTGCATCCGCCAACATTAGCCCATGATCTCCAGCAATATCGAAATCCTGGAAAATGAGAAAGCATTTGTGGAAGAATGGAATGCTAACTTTTAAATAGATGGTTAACAAGGTGAAATCCGAACTTACCTACTGTGTAACATCGCCTTACTCATTATTAACTTACGATTATAATCTGTATATCGTTTATGTATTTGTTGGACTTGGTACATTGACTTCATATAGATATATGTGTCATTTTAGCATGTCTCAAGCATCACAATAAGGGAAGAGCCTGAATAGATGAAGACGAACTCAGTAAGTCAGTCAGTCAGTAACAACGTAGAATTTCGTACCGACTTACATCAGTTCGAGTTGCAACACATTAGCACAGAGATGCAGTGGTCGATTCAAATCCCGTAGTGGTAGAGGTAATAAAAGTATAAGCAGTAAACGGGAAAACTAGTGTTTGGAGATGTTACTTAAAGAGTATAATACAGTGAAATAAGTTTGGGAAGAGAAAAACAGAGACAAGGGGGAATAAGGAGATCAAAATTTGGGAGAACACAAAGAGTGGATACACCTGCGCCATTGCAAACGATTTTGAGCCATGTCATTCAAGGTCCCTAACCATCGGTTGCTATCATCTTGAAGTCCCCAACCAGGTAGTCTACACCTACCAACATGACTCAGTCCACTTGTCAGTGACTTCATGGACTTGTGCCATGGTTTTGCTGCTTTTAGTTTTACCGTTCTTTAACCAACCTGTCTGGCATGAGAGGACCTTGTGGAACGATTGTTCCAGCCAGTAAAGCTCGATTCCTTGATCATGAGAGGCAAGCCCGACCACCACATCTAGGTAGCAACAACGGTCGGGCCAGAACTGTGCATTAATTATGAACAACACAGATAAGCGAACAATTGTTTTCAATTAGATCGTCATAACGCTTTACTCTAATATACATGAATATTTATACGAAAATGTTAAAACAATCAAGGCAATATGGGTCAATAATCACAATGAAATAGAATAGGTCATCACACGCAATAAGTAAAATTACAAGTTGATAGTAGGAAGACAAGTGTACTGATAATAGTAAGAATAATAAAATACGATAAGAAAAGTCATATCAATAGTTAAACGCTGGAAATAGACTTGGAATAGTCATCACAAAACATTAAAATCATTACGTGATAAGAAGTGTGTAAATAATTAGGTAGTGAAGAATACAAACGGCAAGAGTCGGAAAATTACAAACAAATACTAGATGTGAAAATAAGGCTAGTGATAACAAAAATAGAATAGAATAAATAGATAATAATGATTTTTAAAAAATCGTTAGTTAAGTTATAACTGGCCATGGAAGGGATAGGGGGGTCACGAATTTATTATGTCCACATAAATTGGGGTTATATGTACGAATTCCTATGGCTTCAGCTATATATAGGAGGCGGGAACGAACTCCGTTGGGAAATGATGGAGGTATACGATAGATCACTCGAAATGATTTTGGTTTATCTACAGCATGACCGCTATCGATGAGATGTGCCAAGATAGAACTGCGAATTGTTTTTATCTGGCCCTTTATAAACCAAGCTGGTAGATGTTCACTCATTCGTTGGTTAAGTTGCCTGGTAGTACGCCCGATATAGCTATCCACAGGAGCGGTCGAATTTGTAAATGCACATTAAGGAGGCCAACTCAGGTAACCTATCCTTCGTTTGCGTAGACATCACTAGTCGACAAGAGAAATTCAACGCAAGATTGGCTGCGTAGAATGTCCTGGTGTCACTAGCCACATCCCCGTTAAATTGTTGTTTCATTGTCTTCAACAAATAGACGGGATAGCCATTGATTTATATTGTCGTTACATTGACGGCACTTTCATTATCGTAGATCAAAACGCCAGTAAGAATAAACTCCTAGAACAATTAAACAGTGTTCACCCAGCGATCAGTTTCACTGGTGAAAGCGAGTATGACAAAAAGCTGAACTTCCTTAACGTCACACTCTGAAATATAGGTTAACTAAAGTAATCACCAGGACATTCTACGCAGCCAATCTTGCGTTGAATTTCTCTTGTCGACTAGTGATGTCTACGCAAACGAAGGATAGGTTACCTGAGTTGGCCTCCTTAATGTGCATTTACAAATTCGACCGCTCCTGTGGATAGCTATATCGGGCGTACTACCAGGCAACTTAACCAACGAATGAGTGAACATCTACCAGCTTGGTTTATAAAGGGCCAGATAAAAACAATTCGCAGTTCTATCTTGGCACATCTCATCGATAGCGGTCATGCTGTAGATAAACCAAAATCATTTCGAGTGATCTATCGTATACCTCCATCATTTCCCAACGGAGTTCGTTCCCGCCTCCTATATATAGCTGAAGCCATAGGAATTCGTATATATAACCCCAATTTATGTGGACATAATAAATTCGTGACCCCCCTATCCCTTCCATGGCCAGTTATAACTTAACTAACGATTTTTTAAAAATCATTATTATCTATTTATTCTATTCTATTTTTGTTATCACTAGCCTTATTTTCACATCTAGTATTTGTTTGTAATTTTCCGACTCTTGCCGTTTGTATTCTTCACTACCTAATTATTTACACACTTCTTATCACGTAATGATTTTAATGTTTTGTGATGACTATTCCAAGTCTATTTCCAGCGTTTAACTATTGATATGACTTTTCTTATCGTATTTTATTATTCTTACTATTATCAGTACACTTGTCTTCCTACTATCAACTTGTAATTTTACTTATTGCGTGTGATGACCTATTCTATTTCATTGTGATTATTGACCCATATTGCCTTGATTGTTTTAACATTTTCGTATAAATATTCATGTATATTAGAGTAAAGCGTTATGACGATCTAATTGAAAACAATTGTTCGCTTTTTTGTGTTGTTCAAATTTTCTCAATAGGAATCTTTAACATTGTTATGAGCCAGTGCACGAAACTGACTTCCAGGACATCAAGAATTCTACTACACTACTTGATATCCTAATCTGATGCATACTTAAGGTCATGCAGGTAGGCGTTTAATTAACGATAACCCAAGTTTTCGTGAAAACACGGAAAACAATTCATTGAGTTGCAAAGCAGGTTACAGAGTTGAGCACGGGTCTCGTAAATGTTTAGTTCAAATAATTTTAATTATTATAGATTTACAGCCCTGAAGTCTCAGAAGACATGCAGAGAGTAGACTAGGTTACTAGAGGCAAATGTGGTAACCGAATTTGGGAACAAACCAAACCGAACAGACAACTAAACACCCGACCTCGTCGCAACAAAGCCAGAATGGTAACGAAATGTAATCATTAGGCAAACACAACAATGAAGTTAAATGACTTCGAAAAGTAAAACTTGTAGTAATTTACTTACACACTGGTAAAACTCCCGGTAACGACCGCGCGACATAGCCGGTTGATCACGCCGATAAACCTTTCCAATTTGGTATCGCTTAATAGATTTAATCTTATGCATGGCAACATAACGGGCGAATGGGACCTTTACTGCATCATAAACAATAATTCTAACATACGGTTAAATCATATCTAAGAGAAAGCGCCTCGCCGCCTTGATCCTGAAGATCGTATATGAGTTTAGATTCCTCGCCATACTTTCCAGCTAGCACTTCCTAATTCCTGTAAAACTCAAAACGTCTGAAGTTACCTTGAGCTCAAAAACAGGGGTGTCTATAGTAACCGCATCATGACGCTTGAAACACCGTATTATTGTACTAAAAACACCTTCAAGAATTGTCATTTGTAGGGGATCCCGATCTTTTGTTCCCTATTTCAATCAGAGGAATTTTCGGTATTACCTTTGGAACTTTTAAATTGTACTTCACTTCGCACTGTTTGATGGATGACTTGGCCATTTGCTCTGTGATTTTTTGCACCTAGCATTAAAATATAACTTCAATTTTAGGTACGAGAACCTGAAGAATAGACATTTTAACTGCACTACCAAGATAACCAATGTTTGTGCGCATTACTGATTGTCTTACAAAAATAAGCTAAACTCACTTTTGTCTCCTGTAGGATATTTACATCACCGGTAGGTAATTCAGGCATGGCATAAGTAACGCATCTAATAAATCGACCTCGCACTCAATTATAAGTTTGGTCTTCTCTGTCGCATTGGAAACTTCTCAAAACATTAAATTTGCCATTATATGTATCTATGAAAGGATTTATAGCCACTTGCCCAGGGATAGAAAACCAAGCCACCAAATAACTACTGAATGGATTTAAACATAGATTTGTTTACGTTTCGGTTTGGATAGTTAAGATTCAGATTCAGATCTGTGTAGTAAGGACAGAAGACCTACGGCCTATGTTATTCCTTTTCCAGTACGCTTCTGTGAGTGTCCAATCTTCTCTTGATAGAGTCAATTGAAGGTGCGGACACCACTGCTTCGGGCAGCAGTGTCCAACTATTGATGACTCGGTGTGAAAACCTGCATGCGACGGGTATTTTATTCATTCTCGGCTTTTCTATTCGCCTGCTATGTCCTATGAGATGTCTCGATCTAGTGGGAAGAAAATTAGAGGATATGTTAGGTCCAAAATCATTTCTTAGTTTCCTATTCATCAAACTCAGATCACCACTTAATCTGCAATAGAACATAATAAATAGATTTAACTTTTAAAGTCGCTCTTTTTATGGTAAGCCCTGGAGTTTCGGAATTGTACAAATAGCTGCCCTCTGTACTTTTTCAGGGATATCCGAGTCACCTTTTAAATAGGGGCTTTCAGCCCGAACGCAGTTCTCAATCTTAGTTCTCACTAAGGTTGTGTATACTGTAGTAAACATGGTAGTTTTTAACTTGATGAATGTCCGTCTTAAAGCCTGAAGGTTTCCGAACCCCTTAGCTGTGAACTGCTGGTAATGGGCTGTGGTCTAAAGATCATGACCCACTGTCACCCCTAGATCCTTATGAGACCGGACTACGGGTATTGGCACTTCCCTTATGTTGTACCTATTAACCTTTGAATCCCCAACGTGCATAGCATTGGAGACTGTACTATACTTGGAAGGTCATTAACATACATTACAAAAATTATAGGACCTAGGACGGAACCCTTAGGTACCCTAAGTACTGGTCTCCAGATGGAGCACTTGGAATTTATTCTTACTTGCTGTCTACGACCTACTAGGAAATCCTTAATCGATTTTAATAGAGGTCCGGTAATACCAATGTTTTCCTACTTCAATAGCACTCTATTTGTTGGTACCTTGTTAAAAGCCTTACTGAAGTCTATGTAGACAACATCTACTGAGTTATTGTTGTCTAGTGCCTTTATCTAGAACTCCCTTGCTATAAGGAGGTTCGTTGTACAAGATAGACTCTTCTTAAAACCATGTTGTTCTATATTTAGCAAGTTGTTGGTTTCTAATAATGCCATTATGATCAGTTTGACTATTCTTTCCAATATTTTAACTAGGCTGACAGGTCTTTAGTTCAATGGAAGTTGTCTTGATCCTATTTTATGCATGGGAGTGACGATTGCGTCCTTCCAGTCCATAGTTAACATACCTTGTTCAAGTGGCACTGAATATCACAGTCAGTGGGGCCGCGATATATTGTGCAATATGTCTCAAGATTTCGGGGTGCAGTTCATCTGGTCCTGCTGACTTTTCCACGTTTAAGGTGCTAAGAGCCTTAAGCACATCGTCTTGATCGAAGTCCACGGTGAGCAGGTGGTTTGTTGACTGTTTATTTTGGTTTGGTTCTTTGCCCCAAAATAGTCAGCCATAGCTTCTGCTCTTTCCTGATCTTCTATCATTTCAGATTCGCTTCCTACTTTAATTAGTTTGAGAGTCCAATGGTGCATCCCTGTTTTGTAGTTTATGTACGAGAATATTCTCTTGGGCTGCTTGGGTGCAGATTGTGCCAGCTGCCCTTCATATTTTCTTTGAGCTTCCCAAACTTTTGTTATACACTTGTTTCTTACCGATCTGTAGCGTTTCATCGTGCAAAGACGGATGGCGACATCCCAACATTTCTTTTGTCTTAGTAAATGTTGAATATCCCGGCCTATCCAGGGATGACCGTGCTTCTTCTTCTTCTTCTTTGGAACCGTCCAAGGTATGTATGATTGAGTTACCCGAGTGTATAACTGCCTGAGAAGAGTCCATGCCTCTTGTGCTGACACTCTTGAGTCGATTTCCCAGTTTTCAACCGATGCCTCCATATCTGCCTTCCATATGTTGGGACGGGCCGGCGCAACTGTTTGACAAGCAGTCTCAGCAGTGAATTTAAATAAGATAACTGCATGGTCAGTTCTCCCTAGTGGTGGGAGAAAATTCATTTGACCAACGTCATCACTGTGTGTAAAGACTAAATCTAATAAAGAATAAGAGTTTCTTTAGTCATATCTTGTGGAGTTTCTAATGTGTTGGGATGAAGCTAATCCAATCGATGTTTCTAACAGTTTGCATTCGAACGACGTTACCGATGACCCTACTTCTAAGTTAACCCAGTTTATATACGATGCATTAAAGTCGCCTACTACAAGGCTTTTACCCTTGTTACACCAGGACTTAAGTTTACTTGGGAGAAAATCATCTGCTACACATTCTGGACTGCGATATACTTCAATCAATTCAATATCTTGCCGTCTACATTTCAGCTTACATGTCACCAGTTCATATGTCCCTGAAACATGTACTACTGTCTCAGCTAATCTTATGGTTAGGGTACTTTTCGTGTACAGGATAACCCCGCCTCCCCTACGGTCTAATCTATCAGCCCTGTTGGTTAAAAAACCACTCAACTGGATTTCTGACGTTAACCAAGTTTCCGAGTGAGCAATAACATCCTGTATTTCTTTATCCACCATTGACCTAAGCTCCGCCATTTTATTTAGTAGGCTGTGAGCATTTGTGTAGCATACCCTTAAGTCTGAGGAGAACTTTCCCTTACCACCCAGAGTGGTTTGGCGATCGTTTTGCTCCGAAATTTTACAATTTGAAAACCCTTAAGAAAGAGGTTTTCTTCACCGTTTCGGGAACGCTCATTTATTTCCAGTTCTGCAGCTCGTCTCTTGATACGATCAGCTAGGCTGAGATCCTCACGGACGTATATTCCGGATCCAATCAGTTTACATGAGTTAACTAGAATCAGGTTCCTTTCTTCAACCGTGGAATGAAGCTTGATGGCCTGTATTAGTCCTGGCAACGATGGTCTCTCAGTTTATCCAAAAGTATTATGAAAGAGTCGACGGGTGGACCCCCAAGTACATTCTGAGGTAATAGATTCCGCTCGTTGATTCCATGGGAAAGTCGATAGTCAACTGTCAAGTAATTTGTTTCGGGCTTGTGGACATTTTGAAGTATCCTCGTAAATTGTCTGTTTTCGAAACAGGAGAAATTAGGGCATATCAGGTGCAAGGTTATCACTAAGCAATTTGAAATCTGTAGTTAACTCCACCCTAGATCTTCGATATGACAACCGGGATAGTTTTAGCTTGGCCAATCGAGAATCACACGGAAGCCTTGCTATTTCGAGTATTAGCTTAGTTGTTGTTCTCTGAACATTTCTCAAAAGTTCACTATTTTTTAAGCAGGGGCTAGCCGCTTGCATGCACTACTCAAGTTTAGAACACGACCAAAAATTTTCAAAACCTTTGGCGATTATCGCACGGCAATATGCAGTAGTCTTTTAGTCTTGACTGACAATGACTCATAAGTCATTGTGTCTGGACAACAGGCATACATCTTGTATGTATCTGTACCTAGGTAACCGATATGCGTCACAATACACTTGGAAGTATTAATCGACAACTGCCAGGTTTGAGACCATTCAGACAATTTCTCCATGTCATTTTGGAGTTCATATCGTTCTCAATATCTTGACATCGTCAACCTATAACAAGACCGATGATAATAATAGACGAGGAAGGTCATTTACATACAGGAGGAATAACACTGGCACCAAAACTGTACCCCGGGGCACTCTACTATGCACAGTTTTCCAGCTGGACAACTTGGAGTTCACCCGTACTCTTTGTTGGCACCCAACTAGGAAGACTCTTATCCACATCTATAGCTTGCCGCAAACCTAGGATGTAGTTCATCGGGTCACGTAGGTTCGCCTATGTCTAGTTATTTAGCAGACCAAAGACATCGAGTTCTTTAATGGCCACGCTGTCCAGTGTTTGTTTGGAAAGATTTGTATGGACTGACGAGAAGGGTGTTTCTACGGTATATATATATATATATATATATATATATATATATATATATATATATATATATATATATATTGCTAAGGTAATTTGAGAATGCCTGAGCTTTACCAAAGTTGTCCTCCACTAATGATGAAGAATTACTGTCCCCCCATAGTATTAGAAACTTTCCCATTCTTTTTGTCCTTTGGTTTACATGAAGATACGAGCGTTTAGGGTATTCTAATGATCCCTTAACAATTTTTTCGCACAGAATTCTAGACTTATGGAGGGTCCAGACACAAGTATTCCTAGCTTCTCGATATTGAGATTTCATCTGATCAGTACTCAGTAACCTAAGAATATCACATTTTTTCCCCTTGCGGAGAAGGGTGCGAACCATGGTAGAGAGTTTCTCAGATCCCTTGGTGTGGTCCAAGGGGTGTGGGGTACAGTAACTTTCAAGTTTACATTTTGACGTGCAGCCCAAGCTGTTTCAGTTGGGGACTCTGACTCAATTATCCAATTAATTGACGATGTTGAGCGCATAATATCTTGTATATTTGCATTCGAGTGGTTAGGTTTGGATTAAGCTGACGTGTGCTCGTGATTGGCAGTTATATGGAAGTCAAAAGCTAGAACTGCATGATCACTTTTACAGAGAGGTGCCAAGTAATCGAGGTTCGTAACGTTATCCTTATAATGGGTCAATTTAAGATCTGACAAGGATGATTCAGAGTCCGGGTTGTACCTAGTCTCTTCTTTTACATGTCGCACTACGGCACATGTGATAACTGAATCCACTAGTTCCTGCTCGAAGGAATTATCTGACGATTCATTTCGAAGATTTTCCCATTCTAACATGGGTCCATTGAAATCTCCCATGATTAGACATCGACCACTCAAGTACTGAGACTATTTAGCAAGACGTCATTTACCTCACGGCTTGGACTACGGCAGACTAAATCGGTCAGCCGTTCTTGTCTTTGTACTTCAATAGGCAGCTAATTAATTCACACGTCCCACTATCGTAGGATACACTGTCGATAATGGCAAATGGGACGACATTCCTAATGGATAGAG